AAATTTCAAAGATTAATCAAAAATAAATTTAAAAAAAAAAAAAAAAAAAAAAAAAAAAAAAACCCTCAAATTGTACAGTACACCCGCCATGTGAGACAACAGCGCAAATCAAGGGATTTCATTTTGAAACTATAATAAATAAGTATCCGTGATTTTATTGGCAGTTTTTTCCCTCATAATTATTCAACATATTATATTTATAATCACTTTGGTGGCTTCCAATCATTTTCTCTCTATCAATTCCCTTTGCTTGTTAAGGTGACTTGTTTGGAAGCTAAGCACGCTTACATTATTTGTGCCCCAATCCAATAATGCCCTCCTCTCTTCTACATTATTTTGGTTACCATCGATGTGACTCCTCATCCAATTATTCATTTTCTCCAAGTCTCTGACTCCTTTGCTTATTCTTTAATCCATCGTATATTGTAATACAAGTGTACAAGATTATGTGTGTGAATGCAGAGAATATATGGGGTTTTTAATTCTTTAAATTGAACATATTATATCGTTATTATTCTTTTCAAATATGGTATATGTGTGAATCCATGGCTTATAATATAATTTTGATGACCATTTAGTATAGTTTGACCCATTACAACTTTCTTCACTAAAATAAAATAAAATGTTTATACGAAGTTGAATGAATAATCTATGAAAGCTATTTGGGTGGCTCTTTGATCATCTTATGGTTGTAAATAATTGGTGTTGATCGAGGATAACTTGGTACGTTGAATGATTAAATTATGTGAGATTGATAATAAAATCTCCATAATTTTTAACGTTTAGAATAGACTACTTTTCAAATTTAATTCACACATAGAGATTCTAGATGATGTTTTTATAATAAAATTATAGCTTAAGTAGTAGGGGGTATGGAAGCATATTGACCTGGGAAGTTGAACAAATAAAAATGGTCCAACTGAACCGAACTCAATTGGGTTAACTAAACTTGGTTTAAATTGGTTGGTGGATAAATGCAAAGCATTAATTATGGGTAAAGTTTAGAGAGTGGGCGAAGAGTTCCATAAATGAATAATTAGAATTAAGAAGATACATAATCTTTTTGTTTTGTTTTGCAAAATTAAAAGAGTGATGGGCGATCAAACCAGCACTGAAAGACAAATTGAAAAGGACGATCCTCCTTCCCTCCCACCACGCATTTTATAATATTTCAACTAACTCAAACAATAATTGTGAGCCCCAAGATTTTTAATGGATTAATGTCACAACAATCTCTAAACCAATTATCTTATCACCATGATCGCTTATTGTAAGGAAATTAATGAAATTAAAATGTTAGAAACACAATATTGTTGTAGATTCTGATGACACGGAAAGGATATTTTTAAGGAAGGATGTCATTTTAGTTGGGTAAATTTCAATTCTGAAGCACGATATCTACAAGAATATTGATTACTAATTTATCAGGTAACTTCTAGCCCCAATCGCAGATTTTTCTTGAACAATCCCCCATTTTCCGGCAATGTGCCGGAGACTGGATCTCTCTCTTAATTTTAGCGAATATTACTTCGCCTCTGCTTCCTTTCCTTTTGTTTGCTTCTTTTTTGCCACAAATTGTTGAATAAGATCCTTCGATGTCCTGTCCTCGATTTTGGCGAATCCAGAAGGCGATAAAAACTAAAAATCTAATGAGAATTGCAATTTAGGTATCCTCTTTGTTAGTCTTGATCACCACCAAACTACAACATCCACCCGAAATCCTGGAGTTTAGGGCTGAAAAATGGTCAAGATCCCCAGTCCAGTTCAACAGCATTAGGATTAAGAAGAGAAGGGCGATGTAAGAAATACAAAAAACAAAGTTCACTGATTGGTCACGAAATTCGGGTGAAGAAGCTGTGTCCGTAACAGGAGAATGTAGTAATATCCTTGTGGACTTACATCGGAACGGGAAAAAGAAGCTAAGAATTGTTGTCCTGAATCACTCTCTTTGATATACTAGTCATCTATGGGAAACAAAAATCAGAAAAGTATATACAGAAAAATGAAGAACAATCTCTCTAAAAAAAATACAAGAGAGGAAAAAGGTCCGTCCGTCTCGGGCGTTTATGACTCGATAGAGAGATTTGAAAGAAGCTCTTGAAGACGGCGAGAATCGTAATCACCGACACAGAGAGCCTCGAGAACGCGCTCAAAGAGAAGAACATGACAGGGAATATGTAGAACGCCTTTCTGTTCGTAACCGTACTCTTGGGCGGATTTATCGAGGAGCTCGACGAAAACAGGGTGGTTTAGGAGTTGAGCGCTCACGACGAACCGTTCCATCTCTTTGCCAACGTAAACGGGAACGTGGCCTTGCGGCACGGTGGAGGAACGGAGAATACAGGATCGGCGGAGCTTGGTGGCGGCGGCGGAGGGAGAGCCGGAACGGAGAAGACAGTACTGAGAGGAATCGGCAACGCGAGAAAGTCGGCGAATCAATTGCTTCATGATGATTGATGAAGAATACAAACAGAGAGAAAAGGGAAATTGAGATTTGAATATGAATGAATTTGAGGGAATTAGTGAGTTTGATTTGAAGAAGATGAAAGAGAGGTTGGAGATCGAGGGAAGAATGGAATAATATATATAGAAGTGAAGAGGAGGTGTGAGGTTGGAGATTGGAGGCATTATATTAAAATTGAAAAAAGAAAAAGAAGGTGACGAGAAGAGAGAGATGGGATGGTGGGGGAGGTACAGGTAAGAGTACTTGGCTGGTACAATCACTCACGCCACCTTCCCTCCTCTCATTATTAATTATTATTAATTCTTATTTTTTAATATATATATATATATATATATATATATGATATATGTTATGAATTTATTTCAGGAGTTGCTTAAATTATAAGATTCATATCATAGCTTTGAAAATGGGGCAATATGTGTCTAATAGTTTTTAAACTATGAGTATTTAATGCACATCTTTGATTTATAAATTCTTGTTAGAGGCATTATATATTGTCACCTTTATAATTGTAAAGAAGAATGTTTAGAAAGGAGGTTGATTTATTATATATTAGTATACATATTTATTGAGAATGACTAATTTCTTAAATGTATGACAATGATTTATTGCTATTCTTTGAGAAAAAAAATAAAAAAGTTCCTTTCATGTAATAATTTATTTAATTGAGTTCTTATAGAAAAAGAAATTAATTTTAGACATGGGATAAACTATCACTCTTTTTTGCTATAAATAATATACATACATTTTTAATTATACATCATTTATGGATTTTAATAATTGAGTCGAGGTACATGTGAAATTTTTAGAGCAATAAAGACAATTAGAAAGAAAAAAAGAAAAAAAAAAAAAAAGGGACAAAAGCTATATAAATTAGGTCTGAATTGAAATACATTTTTGTTGGATGAAGGAAACAACTAATGAGTAACAATTGTATGAACACAACTCAAGGTTAATTTATAATTAGTATTTAAAGAAAATAGAATTACTAAGGGTATGCTTGCCAACGAGGCAGTAGACGATGTTAGATAGTTTGGAATATAAATTTGTGGATAAGACCAGTTCATTATATTTGTAGTTTGAATTTGAGAGGGAAAAAGATGATAATATTATTTAACTAAATAGGGCAAAAAGAAAGAAAAATAAATAAATAATCAGGGAAGATGAAGAAATCCAAAGGACAAGGCAGAAAAAATGGATGATTCTATAGTGGCCATCCAAGCTCAGGAAAACTCTGCTTTTTTCTTTTTAATTAAAAAACAGACAATAATAATTCGGTTTTACTAAAGGAGAAGAAATCAAAATGGCCATTCAATTATTCCAAAAGCCTTGTGCTTTCGGACGTGGGCAACAACGACTGTTATCCCAAAAAGTAAAAAATAAAATAATAATAATAATAATAAATAAATGAAGTTTGGGTTCGTGAGAGTGGTACGGAAATGACCTCAGCCGCGATTGAGTGCTAAAAATAAAAAAAGGCAAAGCATAAAGTATAAGGTGATTCGTAATGAACATAGGGCTTTTTGGTAGTGGAGGCATTACACAGCAGAGGCACAAAATGATGACCACCTAAGACCCTTCTTCCTTTTCTTTACCCTCTCTTTCTGGTCCTTGAAAGTGACCGTTTATGGTTTATTATTATTATTATATTGAGAATCAAGAACTGGAGATGCTGTTGAGTGGCGTGGACGGAGTGTTGGGACTTAAAAAGACCAACTTGTGGCTCAAGAATTCGATTCAATTCAATTCAGGCACAAAAGTTCATTGTGTAGATATAATAAGCTCATTGGATAACACGCAAGGATGTTGAATGGAAGACTAAGATGAAAGCAAACAGAATATCTGAGATGGGTGGAGCCCGGCTTGGTTGCTTGCTGGGAATCTGATTCTACCTTGTATAATTTGCTTCTTCTCTCCCGATTCCCCGGAGGAGGTCAACACATATAAAACTGTAATCAAGATATCAGAAAAAAGGTTACACTTTTTTTATGTGTTGCCCCCAAACAAGAGCTTCAGCTGGACTGCCCGCAAAAACTACCCTGCATTACCTGAACGCAGTCATGTTCGTTATTATGTACACAGTTTCAGGCATAGAATTGAGTCCACTCATACAAATGTTGCTACTTCAGCTATTATTCAGAGTTTTAGTTCCACAATAGCAAAAATAATGGAAAACTGTTTGGATCCTTCTCCAAAGGAGGGAACTAATTAACGTGATCACCTCACAAAGAAACTACCATCCAAACGTCTTTCCACAGGGTTGCTTCCCATTTTTTCATTCCAAAACAGAAATTACCTGCCAACTAAATTCAAAGTAAAAACACTCACTAGTACATAAACAAACACTTCTGTCACATCCCAAAATTCAAAACTCGGAATCAACAGGTGACACCAACCGACTATACGATGAAAGCACGTAGAAAAGAGATAAGCAAGAAGATTTTACGGAAAATATTTAGCAATTAAGAAGAAAGAGTTTCAATCAAAACAAATGTTCATACACCATATGAATTTCATAAGATAAGGTTATGGGGTACAAATCGTATGATGTAACCATGCATGACTGTACAGACTCCTAAACACCTTGGGTCACTCCTCTGTAGCTTCACAACTCCCGAAAAAAAAAGTGCAGAAATGGATGAGTATAGGAATACACAGTAAGCAACCTATTTGTAGGCTCTTTTCGCATCCTTAACCTCTATTCACAGGCTTTATTTTGGTCTCTAGGAAGTATGGTCTAAGCTCCAATGCTTTCTGAATAGTTGCGTTCTCGCCTATCTTAGCCGGTTTCTAAACTGAAGCGCACCCTTACGGGTTTGACCAGTTTTCCAATCCTTCTTTTCTATAACTTACGTGGCTTACCTTACTTATGCAGTGAATGATCAGTGTTCTATGCTGAGACACGACCTCACAAGTAAAGCTCGGGTTAGTATGGTTGGATCTGCATCTGTAAAACTCTCTAAACATCATCCGTGGAGGTTAGCTGACAACCCTCCCACGGGACCATACCACCACTAAAATCGGGGGATTGCGATCCCCTATGTGCCAGTCAGCTATTGGGTCAACCTATGTTGTCTCACGCTCCCCCGCTCAGGGACGGGTATACGGCCTAGAGGTCCTGTTCAGGAGACCTTAGCTATCTCCACTAGGTCGAGGCACGAATCACACTACCCTATCCAGCTAAGCCTAGCTCGACGATTCCGGTATCGGAGTAGAGCCTCGACGCTACGGTATTGGAGTAGAGAAGGAAGTGGAGGTTTTGGTGACACTGCTCACACTGCTCAAGCCCGGCGAGCTACCTCGATCGTCCATGGTCACTGTGGTGTCCTACTCGATTAAGGGGAGGCGTGTCGAACAAAGGACTCCAAAAAGAAAAAAGAAGGCTTAAGGAGTCAAGCCTCCTCAAAGATACGAAGGCAGTAAAAAATGACTAAGACTCCAAAGGAGTCGAGCCTCGATTAAGGGGAAACGTGCTTTGTTCGAGGGGAGGTGTTGGATGATGAAAGTCCCACATCGGCTAATTTAGGGAATGATCATGGGTTTATAAGCGAGGAATACTAACTCTATTTGTATGAGACCTTTTAGGGAAGCCCAAAGTAAAGCCATGAGACCCTAATTTAGGGTATGATTATGAGTTTATAAGTGAGTAATCCTTACTCCATTCGTATGAGGTCTTTTGGGGAAGCCCAAAGCAAAGCCATGAGAGCTCATGCTCAAAATGGACAATATCATACCATTGTGAAGAGTCGTGTTCATTTAACAGACTGTGATTCGCGAAGAGCACGAGGCAGGGGTAGGAGACGCTGATGGCGCCCAAAATGAAAGAGAATCGGGTAGCGGAAAGGTTGGAATTGGAGAGTTGAAGAGGAAATTTGGAGTTTGGGTAAGGTGAGGATTGCACTGAGGCGGAATACATCGGCATGGTCTTGTTGGGTCAATCAAAATAGAAGCTGCGCTCAATTAGATAACAAAATAATGCTAAAAAGGAAAGACGTGGTATTGGAAACAGAGTAAAAGAGGGACAGATTTATGTTGAGAGATTGATGAAAAATAAAGACAAGATTAAATCAGGTAATAATTATATTATTACAGACTTGAAATATTTATATAGACAAAAAAAAAAAAAAAAAAAAAAAAAAAAAAAAAAAAAAAAAAAAAAAAAAAAAAAAAAAAAAAAAA